GGCATAAGGGGGTGTGTTGGAGATCCCACATTGACTAAGGAAAAGACAAGTTTATAGTATAAGTGGGTGCAAACCTTACTTTACAAACCGGTTTCGTAAGGTTGAATTAAACTTAAAGTCCATTTCTTAACAGACCAAATGACAGGTTCGGATTTTTAAGTGAGGCAAGTAATAACATCCCGAAACCCAAATCTGTTCTTGTCATCACTTTTTTCAAAATGGCCAAAGTCTGAAGTCCAATCAAAAAGTGTTTTTTCTGTTAAAGCTAGATCATTGTTAGACAAGCTTTTGCCATGTCTAATTTGTAGTTGTTCTGATGGACAAAATTTTGGTAATGCCATCAATTTTCAAATTGAGTATAATTAAAAATAAATTAATAATGAGATAAAAAAAATTAATTGAAAGAATCCTGATATTTAGGTTTGGTCTCTGAAAGGTTATCTTTCGCATCTTTCATTTAAATGAAATGCAGTACTGCCTGTATTTTAGAGCACAGATTTAGTTGGAAAATATAGGCCTGAAATCATAAAAGCATGCCAGAGCATTTGCAACCTCAGATGAGCATATGAGTTTCTCTATTGTTAATGCTATTAATTGTTTACTTATTTTCAATTTTCAATGGCTGCAGGTTCCCCTGGAAGTGACTGAACCTTTAGATTGTAAACAAATAAAGGGATTAAAGCTTGGTTTATCTGGTGATCACCAATTCTATAATGCTGCTCTTGCGGTCTCACTTTGTAGATGCTGGCTTCAGAAAACTGGGAACTGGGAAAAGAAATATCAAAATGTTGGTTAAACCTTTACTTTTGGTTCATGCATGCATTAGAATCTTAAATACATTGGCAATATCAGCATTACATATCTTTTATAAGAATTTTAAAAATGGGTCCCTTGTCAGACACATTTTAATACTTAAGGATGGATTAGCCTGTAACTTTTTTCTACTGCATGTGCGTGCATGATAATTGTTCTTTTCATTGAGATTATTCTAACCGATTATTTTTCATCAGTTGATGATTTAGTGTGGACATGTTTATATTCCTGTCTACATTATAATATCATTTTCATCTAAATTTTTCCATTGTATAATAGCAATTTCAGGATTATAATTTGCCAGATGAATTTATGAGAAGCCTTTCAAATGCGCATTTTTCTGGAAGGGCTCAGATTGTTTATGCCTCCACTTCAAATTCCCACTGTTCAGAAATTGTGTCCAAAAATTGTGGAGAGTTGATATTTTATTTGGATGGAGCTCATAGTCCGGAGAGCATGGAGGCTTGTGCAAAGTGGTTCTCTAATGCTGTAGAAATTCCATCAAAATCGTCTTTTGAAGTGCAAAAGGAAGATGGATCTTCAGAAAATGGTCACATACTACACAAAGGAAATACCTTGGGGCAGTTTGAGAAATCTTTTAAGCGGGTAGATATTCTTAAAGTAATTGATTGTTCCAGATATTCCTGTAGGNACAGGCCTTAGACCTGTGAAGAGGGTTATGCCTCTGCATCTTGTAAACACACACTATTCTTTCTGTTAATAATACACAATTCATCATATATCTCTTTGTTTTCTTGGTGTGAGAGATTGTGAGGGAGTTCTTGGTTGGGTTTCTTGTTCGGAAACCTATCAATTGGTCCGACCTGGCAGATACCCTATCGGTGAGGCGACGATTCGGGTGAGATGGAGGGAAGAGTGGTGGCGGTGGAAGGACAGTTGGAGGCGGTGGAAATGGCGATATCAGAGACGAAGGCTGATACGGTATTTCTGCGGCATGAAACAGGGGCCTTAAGACAAAACTGCAAAGCAGTGCGTCAGGATATCTAGGCGATCCTGAAGATGTTAGGGGATCGCAATCGCGACCCAAACGGCCACCGCCAAGGTGGCAGTGAATTGTCAGTGAATGACAACGATGGCGGACCCGATGGAGATAGAGGAAGAAGAGGAGAAGGGAATCAAGAAGGGCTTTCTAATTGGAGGAAATGGGTGGAATTACCGGGGTTTGAAGGGGGCGACCCATTGATTTGGATTAGTAGAGCGGAAAAGTTCTTTAAAGTGCAGAAGGTGGCCGAAGACGAGAAATTGCAATTGGCCTTCATCAGCATGGAGGGCTATGCAACGTATTGGTTTCGTTTTTGGAGGGAAAAAACCAAGAACAATTCTTGGGAAAGGGTTGAAAAGGGCGTTGGTGATCAGGTTCGGAGAAGGGGGACAAGGGTCCGTCTATGAGAGGTTGGCCGGCATTAAACAGGTGGGACCGGTGAGCGAGTATGTTTGGGATTTCGAGGTGTTGGTGGGACAGACGTCAAGGATCCCTGAAGAACAGCTCTTGGGATACTTCATGGCAGGACTCTAGGAAGAGGTGAGCGACCAAGTGAGGCCCCATGATCCGCAGGACCTGATGAAGGCCATGTGCGTTGCGCGTGATGTGGAAAAGCTATGTATGTATTCGAAGACTGGAGGGGGATTGGCGTCCAAGAATCAGAGTTCTTGGGGGAGAACGACAGGAGCGGTCACACGAGTGGAATCAAATTATGATACGCTGGGACGAGGAGGAATCGGGGAGAGTGTTGGGTCCGTAAAGAAAGAGGCGACTCAAGGAGGCAGTACTGCGAGAACCACCGGCGACGGGAGGGAAAGGAATACTCGCAACCTACCATACTCGGAGTTCGTAAAGAGGCGAGAGGAGGGAAGATGCTTCCGGTGTGGCGGGCCTTTCAGCCCCGGCCATCGATGCCCAGGGAGGGGATTAAGAATGTTGATACTGGCCGAAGAAGAAGAGGAAAAAGAGAGCGAGGCTAAGCCAGAACCCAAGCCTCCTGACTTGAATTGGAGGACATAGCAATGGGTTCCCTTCATATGGTAAACCGATGAGGAAGAGGAACCACGAGACCAAGCTTCCCAATTCCAACCTTGAGAACAAGGTTGTTCTGCAGCGGGGTGTAATGTTAGGATATAGGGTATTTGGATATAATGGGAAAGGGGATTAGGATAGAAGGCAGAGGAATTGTATAAATAGATTGATTGGATAGTTAGAAGGGAGTTTTGAGTACATGGTTTGTCACAAGCCTTAGACCTGCGAAGAGGGTTATGCCTCTGCATCTTGTAAACACACACTATTCTTTCTGTTAATAATACACAATTCATCATATATCTCTCTGTTTTCTTGGTGTGAGAAACTGTGAGGGAGTTCTTGGTTGGGTTTCTTGTTCGGAAACCTATCAGCAAACCTCATCTTACAAGTTATTATGTAGGTTGGGTTAGGTTTAAAGTCTACTTCTTAAAAGGGTATCATATCCATGAGTTTAAGCCTATCCTAGCTAGATTTGTTGTTTGTTGGGCTTATCATGTTACCCACTATCGGACCATCCATTAATGTTTAGTCCTATACTCAAGACGTATATACCTAGGCATAAGGGGGTGTGTTGGAGATCCCACATTGACTAAGGAAAAGACAAGTTTATAGTATAAGTGGGTGCAAACCTTACTTTACAAACCGGTTTCGTAAGGTTGAATTAAACTTAAAGTCCATTTCTTAACCGACCAAATGACAGGTTCGGATTTTTAAGTGAGGCAAGTAATCTCATCCCGAAACCCAAATCTGTTCTTGTCATCACTTTTTTCAAAATGGCCGAAGTCTGAAGTCCAATCAAAAAGTGTTTTTTCTGTTAAAGCTAGATCATTGTTAGACAAGCTTTTGCCATGTCTAATTTGTAGTTGTTCTGATGGACAAAATTTTGGTAATGCCATCAATTTTCAAATTGAGTATAATTAAAAATAAATTAATAATGAGATAAAAAAAATTAATTGAAAGAATCCTGATATTTAGGTTTGGTCTCTGAAAGGTTATCTTTCGCATCTTTCATTTAAATGAAATGCAGTACTGCCTGTATTTTAGAGCACAGATTTAGTTGGAAAATATAGGCCTGAAATCATAAAAGCATGCCAGAGCATTTGCAACCTCAGATGAGCATATGAGTTTCTCTATTGTTAATGCTATTAATTGTTTACTTATTTTCAATTTTCAATGGCTGCAGGTTCCCCTGGAAGTGACTGAACCTTTAGATTGTAAACAAATAAAGGGATTAAAGCTTGGTTTATCTGGTGATCACCAATTCTATAATGCTGCTCTTGCGGTCTCACTTTGTAGATGCTGGCTTCAGAAAACTGGGAACTGGGAAAAGAAATATCAAAATGTTGGTTAAACCTTTACTTTTGGTTCATGCATGCATTAGAATCTTAAATACATTGGCAATATCAGCATTACATATCTTTTATAAGAATTTTAAAAATGGGTCCCTTGTCAGACACATTTTAATACTTAAGGATGGATTAGCCTGTAACTTTTTTCTACTGCATGTGCGTGCATGATAATTGTTCTTTTCATTGAGATTATTCTAACCGATTATTTTTCATCAGTTGATGATTTAGTGTGGACATGTTTATATTCCTGTCTACATTATAATATCATTTTCATCTAAATTTTTCCATTGTATGATAGCAATTTCAGGATTGTAATTTGCCAGATGAATTTATGAGAGGCCTTTCAAATGCGCATTTTTCTGGAAGGGCTCAGATTGTTTATGCCTCCACTTCAAATTCCCACTGTTCAGAAATTGTGTCCAAAAATTGTGGAGAGTTGATATTTTATTTGGATGGAGCTCATAGTCCGGAGAGCATGGAGGCTTGTGCAAAGTGGTTCTCTAATGCTGTAGAAATTCCATCAAAATCGTCTTTTGAAGTGCAAAAGGAAGATGGATCTTCAGAAAATGGTCACATACTACACAAAGGAAATACCTTGGGGCAGTTTGAGAAATCTTTTAAGCGGGTAGATATTCTTAAAGTAATTGATTGTTCCAGATATTCCTGTAGGTTAACCATTTGCTGTTTATCATAGTATATCCTTTCTTGGATGCTTCTTTCCTCCTTTTAATAATTTATTTATATAGTTCTCAATCGCCGTGTTTACTTTTAACAATATGTTTGTTGAGATTTCTTGAATCCGAGAGTATGACGTGAAATTCTTTTGATAATTTATTTCACGATCAATTCTCTCCTGATATTCAGCATTGATTAATTGTAGATTCTCCTATTCAATTGCTTAGATGTGAGAAATCCCTATATTTTGCTTCCACGACTGGTGAATACATGTGCTTCTTCAGGTATTCCTACTTCAAAGCGCCTCATATTTTGCTATTTTCACCTTCTAAAAAAAGCTATCTTATGTGTGACTTGTGACTTTACCTTGTTTTTCTTACATATAAAAGCTGTGACTGGATTTAAAACTAAATTAGACAGTACATTGAACCTTCTAGCATATCAGTTGAGTTCTTGACATGGCGTGCAAATGTGTTTCCAATATATTTTATGTGAAATACTGCATCATGTTTAGATAATCTGCTAAAAGAAAAAAAGTTGAAAAAAGAGAATGGTGTCTAAGTCTTTCTACATATTTTATTGCTTCACTATCTTTGAATTTATTTGTGTATGGATGCTTATGAATTGCATTGCACTAATGCAATCACTTTTTTTTGAGCCTTGATTAGGTGTTCATTTCTCAAGAGCACTTTTTGTCCCAAATATGTCAAAATATAGTAAGGTTGTTTCTGGTGCATCAGTTATTTCTTCTGATCTCCATGGCATAGATCTTTCATGGCAAATTAACCTCCAAAGAATTTGGGAGAAGATTACACACGGGAAAGGTATGCTTTGTCTTTTCAGCTTGTGACATGTTTGTTGTCTATTGGGAATTCACAGTGATGTTGGTCATATTGTCTTTCTTACAGCTTCAAGGGTCAATAACACTCTCAGATATCAATGTTTTAGAATGAAATGAAATTTTATTGGTAAAATACCTAATAGCAACTCTAGCATTATTATAGTAGAACAGACAGTGGCAAAAGTTTACAAGAATAACTGAATGAACTCACATGTATTCAAGAGCCTGGTCTGGCCCACCCATAGGCCATGTTCACCAACTAACTTCCTCTATCATCTGCTGCCTCCATTTATAACAGTCTAACTTTTACCTATTCTAACAGATTATAAAGCCTACTCTCAACTGTGAAGTTCTAACTAACAGCTCAACCCTAACGTTAATTTTTTCATTATCTTTTTCTTTTGCTGTGGAATGGGGTAACCTATGTGGATTATAAGTTTACTTCACATAAAAGTAAAGCTTTAACTGCTTCATCATGCATCTAGATGTCCTTATTATCTTGTAAACAACGTGGAAAATATTTCTAGTGGAAATTCAACCAAAAGATGAGAGAAGACAATGCTTTAGATGTTTGTGGAGCTGAATTGAAGTTTTAAAATTGAACATCAAGTGCTATAAAGTTCTTCTAAAATATTAGTTGTTCGTGGATAATGGTAAATGTAATGAGTAATGATAGAAAATTGCCTGATGAAATTAGTCAGACAGCCCATCATGCTAAGATGTTGGCTTAGAGGACAAAGCTTGACTTTTCTGACCTGAGAATTATTTTGTGCATCTGCAGAAATAACCGTGCCAATTGAAAAGGACTTCAAGATAGATAGCAAGGAGATCGTACCACCTCCCGAGTTTCTTAACGATAATGCTCCGAGTGGTGGTCACTCTCATAACTGTTTTGCGAGCAGTGCAGTAATACCTTCATTACCATTGGCAATCAAATGGCTGCAGGATTGTGTCAAAGAGCACCCTTCTACAAGACTTCAGGTAACAAAGACGTGGATGGTACTTGGTTCTTATAATCACTTGGCTAATGGAGGAATACTCTTTAGTTGGTGTTAAATCTCAACTTTTATTTGATCAGGAAGTTAAATTCCATTGACAATCAAACTTTACTCCACCTTTTTCTCTCCCTTTCTTCAGAGGTGTCTCATTTGTGTATGACACCTCGTCTTGTTCAACCACCATGTCCTGAAAGTCAACTTTTTTTCTGTTGGGTTGGATTTAGTAACATTTGTTTCTTTTTTTTTCCTTGCCTTATCCATTTCACCATTAATGGTGATGTTGAAACCCAGTGATGTAGTATTCTGGTAAACCACTGGTTCCTATAATCTGTCTTTGGAAGACGGAGAATGGTGCTTCCTTTTACCCTTTTTTTCTCCTTATGGAACAGAAAAAAAGTGATGCTCCCAATCTTTCCAGTCACGTACCTATAATACTACGCTTACACTGAACCAATTCTTACCTATGGTTTCAGGTTCTTGTCACTGGATCGCTGCATCTTGTTGGAGATGTGCTAAAGCTCTTGAAAAGATGATTTAAATTGAAGAATACAAGTGCCTGTCTTGGCTATTGAAACTTTTGTTGTATCAAAATCTTGTCATTCTGTCAATCCTTTAAGCAGACATTGAGCTCATGTGATTGCTCAATGGTCTGACAATTTTCATTCTTTACAATTCTGACCAATTATGTGCTCAATTGTTTACACCACGCCAAAAATGGAAAGATTTTTTTAAAAATATTTCTAGTCAATATTTTAATTAATTTATTTAAATATAGTGTATTTTAGTCAATTTTATTAAATATAGTGAATATATTGTTTCCTTTTAATCTTTTAAAACTGGAAGTTTTCTAAAAAAACGTGCAAGTATTTTAAATAATTATAGTTAAATTCAGTAAATATTGTAAAAAGAGGAAAACACAAAAGTGACAGTTGAATTGTATTATAGTATATATTTTAAAACTTCTTTGAAATCAATGAGAATAAATCATAAGCAATATGGCAGTTTATAAAATAGATAGACTCAAGACTTGATTTTAAAGACAAATTATGAAAGACGATAAATGATAGTTTATGAACCATATCTTTTCAAGCACTCAAATAACAACCTAATGTTAGTAAATTATATAAAAGCATAAATATTAAAAAGAATAACAAATATTTTTATATTGGATACTCTTTAAAAGAAATTATGTCTAATTCTTAACCAAAAAATTATGCTTTACTAATAGCTAACAAACAAAGTATTGTTGGATGTCACTATTTATTTACAACAAAAGTATTATTTCTACTGGTTCTTCAAGCTACATGTATGAGTATCATTTTTCTTGAAGTTTTACATCACGAGTATTCTTTGACAAGTTTCTCCAATTTCTTTTATTACAAGTATTTTTGACAAGTTTCTCTAAACTTATTGACATTATACATTAGTGATTCTATGCATTGCCTACTTCATATACATTTGAGATACAAGGATCGCTACGAGTTGTTCACACTAGACTTTGATTTTACTTTTTTGAAAGATGGATATAGATATTACACTTACAAAGACTAGATAAATATCAAAAGTATGCAAATGAGTAGTTATTCACAATATGTTAGAAAAAAAA